TTTAAGTGGTAGAGCTGGTATTTGAGCCCAGGTCTCCCTGTCGCTCCACCCTATTCACATGCAATTCCTGCCGCTGACAGGCTTATTAGTCATGATTCCAGCACAGGGTGTGGATCTGAGGAAGGCAGCCAGGAGATTCAGGAACCTGCTGGAGGAGCCTCAGGGATGCGGAAGGACGGGACCTCTACGCTTCTGAGGTCTGCTCTGCCTTTCATGTTCCCTCTGGAGAGTCCGACAGCTGGGCCAGGCCTGCCCCCCAGGAACAATGCAAAATGTGAAAGAATGAGCCCACATACGTCCCTTCTTCTCGCTTCCCAGGGCAAGTCCTATCTTCTCTGGGTAGCAGAGCACAGGTAAACTGCACAGAGGAGAGCATCTGATTTTTTTTTTAAATGGTAAACTATCTTAATGTAAATTTTTTCTTTATTAACTAAGGTATTTGCTAAGCAAAATAAGTCAGTCAGAGAGCATCTAATTTAACCAGGGATGTGACGACACCAGCACAAAAGGGGAGCGGATAAACGGAAGTGCACATTTGGAAGATTCTTGAATGTACACGAGGTGGAATAATCTCACGTGAAGGTTGAAAGTGCTAAGTTAAGGATGAATATGAACCCTAAAACAACCACTAAAATAACGATACAAGATTTACAGCAAGTAAGCCACCAAGGAGATAAAGCAGAATCATAAACAGTAATCAGTTCACCAGAGAAGATACACAAGTGGCCAGTAAGCATGGGACCAGATGATCAAATCTCCCACACTTCTGTGTCTTCTAAGTTCCTCGTCCTCACCCCCTTGGACTGCATGCACGTTGGGGGATGCTCTCTAGGGCCTCGGAGGTTATTTCTTAAGGGAGTCACTCCTGGAAGAGGAGCTGTGAGGTCAGGGACCAGGCTTGTCAGACATTACGTTTCCCATTACTTAGGAGAAATGAGGCTTAAAAAGAACACCAATGGAAATGGCGAAAGGCCAGAGAAGGTGATGAGCAGAAAGTGCATCATGAACTTGAACCTGACGTGAAGTCAACAGCGGGCACCGGGCTGCTGCCAGGTGAGCTTAACGTGAGATGCACCTGCTGTTCATAGGCCTGGCTGGAGGAGCCTCCTCACTTCCCCTGCCCCCCAGAAATGCAGGGGTCCAGGCCACTGCCTTGATTTACCTTAAAGTAGAAATAAGTTGCCTCACTCCCTCTTCTGACTCCGAAGGATCCTGTGCTAAGAGAAGTCTCCTGATTAGACATTTAAAAAATAATAGGGCTTTGCCAATAATGTCTCTAAAACCCCCAATTTAATAAACAAGAAAGAATACACTGTTCTGTGAGGAAGTGGAAGTCTGAAACTAACTGGAAATGTTGCTTTTAAGAGGAAATGAATAAAACCAATAGGAGCTAGAGTTCCTAAGTATGATGGTCATAATCGCATTACTTTTAAAGATTAATGAATATTATTTTCTGTAATAATAATAATTCTGGAGGTGGGGGGGGGGGCTGACAACACAGGGCCTCTGATGGTAAATGCTGTCCCTTTGGTCTTGTAAACGAAGCCGCCTCATTCTGTTGGGACTTCGCTCCGATAATTTCCTGTCAAATGCTCCATAAGAAATAGAGTGCCATTTGGAAAGGCATTTAGCGTGTCGGGAGGGATGACAAAGACCGTCAGTTGTCAGCCGTGACATGAAACAAAACCTCAGTGGAGAGACTGTGGACTTGGAAGGAGGAATGTGATGCAAAGACACTCAAACCGGTACTGCCCAGGTTTCATTCCACTCCCCAGGGAGAAGGTCAAGTTCACTGACGGAGGAAGAAATCACACTGTGGGTTCCACGGGCGTACTGAGTGGAAGCATCTGTTTTTTACTGGGATTGACCTCTATTGTGGGCGCTGATGCTAAGCCCGTTAGTAAAACCAGGACAGACGCAGGTTGGCACGTAAGAAGGACTGGAAGCTGTTTCCTCCTCCGTATCCATGTCTCTCATGGGGAGAAATCAGCTCCTCTGTCTGTCTCAGCAGCGACTCCTTGGCAGATTAGCGAACGCATTTTCAAACAGACAAATAGAACCTAAATGCCCCCCGCCCACTCCCACCCAACACACACACAATTCTTTGTATTTACTTTATTGTCACGGAATTTTTTTTTTTATTAACTCACTTTAAAAACTTCATTCTGGGGCGAGGGGGTTGAGGAGGCTTACACAATAGACAGGTTGCATAGGCCTATATCTCTTAAAGAAATTGAATAAATATGAATAACCTTCCACAACAGAAAGCACCAGGCCCCGACGGCTTGTACCGGTGAATTCTACCAGGCATTTAAGGAAGAAAATACCAATTCTTTACAATTCCTTCCAGAAGAGAGAAGGGGGAGGAATACTTCCTTAACTCATTCTACGAGACCAGCATTACCCTAATAGCAAAGCCAGACAAAAACAATATATTTTTTTATGCAAAGGAACATTTCTGTACAGTATGATGAGGTCTGTTAAGTTGTGGTATCATTTTGAGACCAGTCACTCAGGGTTGAAAGAAGAAAGAATTGATTATTCAAGGTGTTGACGTTACAAGCTTTTTAAAAGTCAGTACAAGCTTTTTAAGAGTCAAAATTATTATTACTTTTCAAACTAGGAATCCAAGGCCGCGGGACCATCCCACGGTTTTAGTTGCTAATAAGGTAAACATTGTTGCTATATCCGCTGTAACACTGAGCTTTATAAAATATTGTGTTTTCATCCATAGTTGCAGGCTCACAGCTCCCCAAACACTTGGAATTTATGAGTTGAGAGTGACAAAGGTGTCTTTTATGCTAATGAGGTGACTGTTGGGCCCCTGTTAGCTCCAGACTCAACTTCTTGGGCATCCTTTGCTCCCTGTCGACCCCTCCTGTCCACCCTCCAACCCATCTCTTTATTTTTTAGGCTCAAAGAGTGTTCCTTTTTACTTTTTGAAGATTTTCCCCAACTATATTGAGGTAAATGGAAGTTTACTAAACCTCACATATTTAAAGTGTACAATTCTATCAGTTGTGACATGCATATACCATGACCTTGCAAACATTTCCATCTCCACACACACTCCCCACCCCCAAGTTTCCCGTGTCCCTTTTCATCCAAGCCTCCCTCCATCGAATCTCCAGCCATCTGCTGATCTTCCTCTCTCTGCAGATTAGCTTGTATTTTCTGGAGTTTTGTATAAATGGAATCACACATTATGTTCTTCTCTTTCCTTTTGGCCTGCCTTCTTTCACTCAATATGATTTTGAGATTCTTCAGCACTGTCTATATTAACAGTCTTCTCTATTGCTCAGTTGTACTCCACTGTATGGTTTTACCACAATTTGTGGTGGATTGGGGTTGTTTCTGGATATTAGCTCTAACAAGTAAATCTCCTAGTCAAGTACGAGTCTTTGAATTTCATGCTTTCCTTCCTCTTTGGTTAAGTATCTAGGAATGGAATGGTTGGGTGAAATGGCGAATGTATGTTTAACTTTTTAAGAAACTGCCAAACTGATTTCGAAATTTACACTCCCACTAGTAACTCATGAGAGTTTCAGTTGCTCCACAACTGAAACTGTGGAGTTTAAAATTTATCCCCTTCATTGGGTTTTGTTTATTTTAATGCACAACAGTTAAGTTACCTCTTGGTTTCATTTCTACCAAGGGGCACGCATGCTCAGCTTTACAGGGAATAAGACCAGATCATGCCTGCTGTGCCAGTGAAGTTAATAGTGGCCTCCAAAGCATCCTGGTTTGGACATAAAATATGTGGTTTCTCTACTTCTAGCCCAACTAGCCATGACCCCAGGCTGCTCACCCACAGCCACAAAACTCAGCAAGGCATCCTGCTCCACAAAGACTTTTCCCTCCTCTAAAAGGGATTCTCCTGCTTTTCTTAAACAATTGTTTTCTTACTTCAACCTAATTACAGGAGGAAGGATGTAGTGCATCGTGGGGGAGGGGGACAAGTAGAAATTGATAGATGGAGGGAGTGGGAGCAGGTCCATTTGAGCTGGAGGCAGCCATGCTTGAGGAAGGATCTACTTAACTTTTCCACGCAAGAACCGGGAACCCCCCCTTTTTTGTCTGAGGTAGCGTGACTTGGATTTCTGTCCCTTGCAATTACGAGTCCTCACTAGAACACACAGTAGGGGACTGTACCTCACAGGCAACCACATTTTGTGAGCCTTAGCTGCCTCTCATTTCACATGTCTCCCCGAGAGTGGCTGTTTCTGCTGACCTGGCCCTGGGGCTTGAAAGCAGTGACGCTGGTTGGGAGTGAGACCTCAGAGAGCATTAAGTGACCAGGGTCAAAGTTTTTCACGGTCACTTCGCAGTTTGTTTGATTGAATACTCTAGTTTTGTGTGTCCCATGTAAAGCAGCAGGATCTTTAATATCTAACTCACTGTCATTTTTGTGGTATGACCCCAAAACTTCTGAATTTGGGGAAGCAGCCTTCGTTTCCAACTAGCATTTTCTTTCTAGCGGAAGAGAAGAGGTCGAAAGTGGGGGACAGAAGTTAAAAAGGCCCGGCCCAGTCCCCTCTGGAACATCCTCAAGTTTGACTGCAGAACTGAGGGAGGCTCCTGCCCCGCTGCCCTGACTCTGCCCCAAGCCCCAAAGAGAGGCCAGGTAGTGCCTGTCCCTGGGCCACCCTCTCCTCTGTGGGGCTCCGCCTGCCCAAAGCAGCCGCGCAGGAGAAAAGACACAACAGCCTCCAAGCCGCGCAGGAGCCCTCGGACTAGGGTGGCAACCCCAAGTCAGGATCAGGAAGTCCACCACTGCCCCCAGGTGACCCTTTGCAAAGAACGGGGCGTAGGCCACGCCCCTCAGTCCCTAAGTCCCGCCTCTGCGCCCCCCTGAGGCCCGCCCCGTGGCCCCGCCTCCCGCGCTCAGGGCCCCGCCCCCGCGCTCCGGGGTTCCGCGCTCCGCGGCCCCCGCCGCGCGCTGGCCCCGCCCCCACGTGCCCGGGAGTCCCGGGGAGGAGTGGCCGCGCGCGGGGAGGAGTGGCCGTGGTGCCGGCGGAGGCGCGGGCGGCGGGGCCCGGACTTTAGCTTTGACACGGGCGGCGAGCGGGACCCTGGCGCTGGTGCGGGACGCTGGATGCGGTTCTGGCGGGTCCTGCGTCCCACCGGAACACAGGACTTTTTCCTGGGATCCACGCAACTGCCGCGACGCCGCCAGCCCAGGTGCAGCCGCCGCGAGACGGTGCAGCCGCGGGCGGCGGGCGGGCTTCGCTGCCTCCGCTGCGTCCCCGCAGCCCTGCTCCTCCGCCGGCGCTAGGAGAGCGACCCGGAGAGTTCTTCCCGCAGGAAGCGCCGGGACGCGCGGCCCGAGGCGGCGTGGGCGGGATCCCGTGGCCCGGCCCCGACCCGCACCGGCTCCCGCGCGGGCGCCAGGGCTGGAGGCAGGGCCCCGGCGCTGCCCGGGGCTGGGCTCCGGCCGCGGAGTCGCAGGTGGAAGAAGGACGCCCCGGGGGAGCGCCGAGAGGTGGGGCGCGGGGCGGGCGGCGGGTCGGTCTGGCGGGAGCCGGGGAACATCTCCGTGCCGCCCTAACGAGGACGGAATTCCGGCAGGCGCAGGAGGTGTGGGCGGGTGGGGTAGGTCTCTTCCCCGGGGAACAGACTTGTGGCCTCTCTGGGTCCCGGCGTGAGAAAACCGGACCTCTCCGGAGGAACACCCAGGGCGCCCAGCCTCCCTGCGGGCCCCAGGGCCCGGGCGGCCAGCAGCCGGGACTCCGGGGGAGCACTTCAGCCTTAGGTGTGGGGAGCGCGAGTGCGGATGGATGAGCCGGTTCCGTTGACTTGAGCGGATGCATGTGTCTTCCAGGTGGCCAAGGGACCGCTGCTCCGGGACGCCCTCCGGTGCCTGCCCGGTCTCCTGGGCTCCCTCCTCCCTGGACAGCGCGTTCCTCTGCGGCGGCGTTGGCGAGGCCTCCCCGCGCCCCTGAGCCCGGCCGGCCATGGGCAGCACCCTGGGTTGCCACCGCTCCATTCCCCGGGACCCCTCGGACCTGCCGCACAGCCGCAAGTTCAGCGCCGCCTGCAACTTCAGCAACATCCTGGTGAACCAGGAGCGGCTCAACATCAACACGGCCACGGAGGAGGAGCTGATGACCCTGCCGGGGGTGACGCGCGCCGTGGCGCGCAGCATCGTGGAGTACCGCGACTACATCGGCGGCTTCAAGAAGGTGGAGGACCTGGCCCTGGTCAGCGGCGTGGGCGCCACCAAGCTGGAGCAGGTCAAGTTCGAGATCTGCGTGGGCAGCAAGGGCAGCTCGGCGCAGCACTCGCCCAGCTCCACGCGGCGGGACCTGCTGGCCGAGCAGCAGCAGCAGCCGCAGCACCACCTGGCCACGGCCACGGTGGCCATGCCCCTCACCCCGCGCGTCAACATCAACACGGCCACCCAGGCCCAGCTCCTGAGCGTGCGGGGCCTCACGGAGAAGATGGCCGCCAGCATTGTGGACTACCGCCGGGAGCACGGGCCCTTCCGCAGCGTGGAGGACCTGGTGAAGACATCGGGCGGCATCAACGCCGCCTTCCTGGACAGGATCCGGCCTCAGGTGTTCGCGGAGCGGTCCCGGCCCCCGTCCACCCACACCAACGGGGGCCTGACCTTCACCGCCAAGCCTCACCCCAGCCCCACCTCGCTGAGCCTGCAGAGCGAGGACCTGGACCTGCCGCCGGGTGGGCCCACTCAGATCATCTCCACGCGGCCTTCAGTGGAGGCCTTTGGAGGCACCAGGGACGGGCGGCCTGTGCTGAGGCTGGCCACCTGGAACTTGCAGGGCTGCTCCCTGGAGAAGGCCAACAACCCCGGGGTGCGAGAGGTGGTGTGCATGACGCTCCTGGAGAACAGGTGAGGACAGGGACGCCACAGGTGTTGGGGTGCATGCAAGAGTGGACTTTTTTTTAGGGGGGGTGGGAGGGGGAAGGGGACAGAAGGAGGGCCAGGGTATTTAATCAGTGTCCTCCAGGCCCCAGCCAGTATTGTTACCCGCCGCTGAGGTCTCCTGCTCCATAGCTTTCAGAATACGGCTGCCTGGGCTGGTGGCCCGTTTCATGAATGTGGTATAGCTGAGGCCAATTCATAGTTTGTGGGAGAGTGGAGACTGTATTGGTGTGACTGCTTTGGAGAACGTTGTTTGACTCGAGTCTTCGTGGGTGTATACCCATGAAGTACTCAGAGCCTGGGGACCATAGCTCAGTTTTGCATGTGAGGAAGAGCTAGTCGGATTTCCTCCCTCCCTCCCTCTCTCTCTCTCTCTCTCTCTCTCGCTCTCTCTCTCTCTCTCTCTCTGAGTGTGAGCGGGAAAATCATTTGTTTCCCTAAATAGGCCTATTTGTGTGCACAAAATCAGCTTAAACACCAGATATTTGCAAACACATGCGTGGTGTATATTTACCAAAATGCCATGAATGAATCACTCTTCATTCTTTCTCCTTATTTAGCCCGAAGCTGGCTTTCAGGCCCACAGTGGCAGCCCCAAATGCCTGCAACCTCTCCTGTCCCGTGGCCAGCGGAGGTCACAGGGCCGCGAGGTGAACAGTGGCCACATTTCCCCACTTGGCCCGCAGGAGAGGCTGTGGGATGGGCTCTTATCACAGAGCTGGCATTATTCTCTGCAGAGTTCTCTGCGGGAACTTCCGCTAAGCCCCCATGAAACAAAACAATATTATTGTAGCAGTAACTCCTGCCGTTAATAAAATAGTGAACTGTATAATGCAATCAGCTCTGGGAAGGAAGGAGATGTTTTTATGGTCCCTTCCAGGTCAGAACTCCCCTGGCGGTGGTGGCTGCTGGTGGGGGCTCACAGCTTTCCTTTGCTCTGTCTGGGTTGTGGGTGAGGCTGGCCCTGGAACCGCTTGGTGACACGGTGTGAGTGGGGGCTGGGGGACGGGAATCAGTGCACGGTGAGGGAGTGGCAGGATACATGGGCGAGGAGAAAGCAGGTCACAGTGTCTCGCTGGCCCAGTCCCAGCGACACTCTTATCACTGAGGATGGAGGGACCGTGCTCCGGCTCAGAGACCTGGGCCCCCGAGGCCCGAGCCTTCTCCCTGCACCGCCCTGTCCTTTGCTTTGCAGCACGACTCACTCCTTTTGCAAAATCATCTTGTGCACAGGTGAGAGCCGGACTCGGCCCTGGGAAATAGTTATCTGGAATGGCTTGTCCTCACCCATAGCAGCACGGATGTGTGTATGGGCGGGAGGGGAGGAGGGCGAATGGCAGTTCAGTTCCCATCAAGAATTTCCCGAAGGCTCCTGTTGGGGTGTGTATGTGTGTGTGTGTGTGTGTGTTGGGGGGGGGGGGGTGAATCAGGATCTGAAATTGCCCCAGTGAGAATGACCGCCTGGCAGCTCTGGCTCGTTTACCATGACAGTGATTTTTCAACTGTGGTCTCCAGACCAGTACTGACCTCTGTGACTGACTCCGAATCCCGGGTTTCTGTGTTTTCTGTGCACCCCGGCCGGCTCTGGCGCACGCTCAGGGCTGAGCCGCGTTGCCCTGTGTGCCTGGTGGCGGGCTCTGATAGCGCCTTCCTGGTGCTGGCTTTCCTGACAAGCCCGGTGAACCCACCGGAGCTTTCTCGGTACTGGCTTTATGTGTTGTTATCTTTGTTCTGATCATCCCTGTATTTTTCCAGCCATCTGATCGTCTTTGGTCAGAGTGAGTATGGGTTATTCGGCTTCCAGAAGAGATGAATGTCAGGGTGGAAAATGGGAGGGAGGGCCGGGGACAGCCAGCCGGCCTCGGGGGGAGGATTGGGGGGGGGGGGCAGGGGGGCTCCTCCCCACAGCGCAGACCCAGGCAGCCGGGGCACGTGAGGAGCAGCGTCAGCAACTCTTGTCCGCGGGCCGCATCTCTCCTTTCTCACACCTGCCACACCTGTTGTCCTGCAGGAAGGTGGTTCCTTTTGTCTCCTCACAATGCGCTCAGTGTTCTGGGCTGGCCGGGCACCTTGCTAGGGTCTGGTAAACATGAGGTCATCATTTGGGGCCGGTGTGACTGTCCCAGCGCTGACTGGGACCGCCAATCACATGTCATCAGCCAGCGATGCACATTCTGCTAGAGCTGATTCACAGAAATCCCTCGAATTCCAGTGGGTCCTCTTCTCAGTAAGAGGAAATAGTTAGTGTGAGCAAAGCTGGCTGCGGGGAGGTTTCCTGGTGGCGCTTTTTTTTCATACACGTGCACATTCAGGGGTCACCTGACTTCTGGACGGGTTCTCCTAGTTCCCTACCACTTCCCCGTCCATCCGACTTCCCCAGTACCTCCGAGAGGAAGGCAAGGCGGGCTTTGGTTAGCGCTCTCCAGCTCTGGGCGAGGAAACAAAAAGCAAAGAAGTCCCGTGACGAGCTCATCGGTGACTCAGCTGGGGCTCGGACCCAGACCTTCTGACGGTAGACCTGTGTTCTCCGCATGCATGCCGTGTTTGGTAAGCAAGTCACCCTTACCCACCTCTTGTTCAGGCATCCTGCACTCTGCCTGTTCAAGGACACGTGGCAACGTGTGTGTGCCAGTCACATTTTCTGACGTTAAGTCCATTGTAGAGGCATTTCAAACACACACACACCCTGGCTCCACCTCTTCTGTGTTAAATTGTGACATTCCTTAACCTCCCCAGGTCTCAGTTTTCCCATCTGTTAAACGGAGTTCAGGGAAAAAATGGGGCACTTCTTTTTCGAAGGAAATAGGGAACCGCTTCTTTTCCTGTCTCTGGGTTTGCATCAGGCGGGACTCTGCAGCGGCAGAGCCTTCCTTGCCCTGAGGTGCTGCCCCAGGGGCGGACCCTCGGGTGGGAGCTCCCAGAAACCGCACCTGGCCGGCGGCTGAGGAAGGACAGCGGAGAGCTAGAGACGCACCGTCACCGGGACCCAGAACTGACAGGTTTCCTCAGATTCCGCTGCCAGTCTGTCTTGGGCAATGCTTTTCCTTGTTCATTATTTATGGAGCAAGACCGAAAGAGGACTGCTCCTGCCAAATACCCTTGCAGACATTTGATGACAGCCAACATATGGAATGAAGGTTGTCCTTTTTTTTTTTTTTTTTTTTTTTTCCTGAGGAGTTGTTCTATTTGGAAAGAATGAGCCCAGGGAAATGGACAGATGATCACCAAGAGAAATAAAGAGGCTTAATGTTCCACTTACCCAGATCCCCACGGCCTCCCTCCAAAGGAGCCGTGGCGAAGTCCTGAGCTTGACAAGGGTCTAAATGCGTGTCCTTGCCACACGTCTGTCCGTGGCACCAAAGGACCAGGGGAATGCGTGCCTGGCGACGTGTCCCGATTGCCAATCAAGTTTATCCGATTTGATGACTATAGACACGGCGCACCTGTCACTTGGCTCATGCATTGGAAAACTGCGTGTTGAGTGGCTGCTGTGGACACGCGCTCGCTGAATTCCCGAGCCAGCGGGCCCTGCTGCGTACCAGCGTGAGGTGCGTGCGAATCCGCTGGCACGGCCCCGCCTCAGAGCCGGCTGGGAAACTCAGAGGTATTTATTTATTTATTTTTAGAAAGCCTCTGAGTGTGACTGAAAGCCGGCTGGACTTTCCCCAGATGAATATGGGGCTCCTTCATCCTAGGCCTGTGGTCGGCAAACTGCGGCTCTCAAGCCACATGCGGCTCTTTGGCCCCTTGGGTGTGGCTCTCCCACAAAATACCGCGGCCTGGGTGAGTCTGTTTTGAAGAAGTGGTGTTAGGAGACGTTTAAGTTTAAAAATTTTGGCTCTCCAAAGAAATGTCAACGGTTGTACTGTTGATGTTTGGCTCTGTTGGCTGATGAGTTTGCCGGCCACTGTCCTACGTGATTGGCGGGTGGGTAGGTATAGCCAGACACGGCAGCTGGGACATTCATTCTGATAGCGGTGGAAACTGAGGCTCAGACTGGTAGCAGCCTTGTGGCCTTCTGAGCTAGAGCTGTGGGAGTCAGGATCGGAAGCCGGGCCGCTGTCTTCTCCCAAACTTCCTGGCCTTGGGCTGACCCCTGGCCCACCTGCTGCTTCCTCCCTGCCTTGGGTCTCCGGCTGGCCTGGCTTCACCTAGGCTCCTGGGCCCAGGACAAGGCCCCAGAGGCCTCTGTTCTCTTCCTGTTTTTGTTCTGAAGGACCAGGCTTATGGCCAGAGGGAGAGCCGTGCGGAGGGCTCAGGGCCCCTCCACCCGGCCCCTGACATGTGAGGCTGTGACCTTGGCTCCCTGCCAGGGTGGAGCTCTGGCTTTCTGAGTCAAGAAGCGCTGGGTCACTTCCAGAGAGAAAGGTGGTCAAGGCTGAGCCTGCCGGGGCAGCAGGAGGAGGGGGTGTGAACGGAGAGAAGTCCCGGTGTGGGCATGGCCTGGGGTTTGTGTCACTCGGGGGGAAGGATGCTCCTTTTGTCTTTCAAGCAAGCTGGGCCCACTCGGGAGCTTGCGTGGGAGGTCTGATAGCATCGGGGATGTTCGTGGCCCTATTATCTACTCATTCATTCAGCTGATGGTTCGGAGCTCTCCCCAGGGGCCAGGGGCTGTGGCCAGCTCTGGTAATAAAGTGGAGAACAGGCCCCAGCCCCTGCCCTCAGGGCGCCTCCACGTTAGATGGGGAGACAAACACGTCAGCACATGGATATACAAGGCCAGACAGTGGCCGGTGCTGAGGAGGCTGGAGGGGAGGTGAAGAGAAACCTGGAGGTCGACGGGGTTGGGAAGGCCTCTGCTAAAAGCTGACGGAGGAGGGGAAATGGTGCCCCACTAGAGGAACCAGCAAAGGCCGAGGCCCTGGGCCTGTTCCAGGCAGAAAGCCAGAGGTCGGGAGTGGCAGGTGGCCGTGGTTGCAGGGAGAGGCAGGGCAAGTGGGTGGGGCCTCCAGGGCTCGGTGCTAACC